CTTCGCCACAATGAGTAATGTTATTGTATGCTAATAATAATGTACCAAACGATCAAGTGTACCATACCAAATATATTAAAAGTAAGAACCCTATTCAACAAGTTGATTTAACATCTATAATCTATTATTGAAAAAGATAAATTCAAACTAAAGTCAGTCAGCCGTACATTCTTTAGTTCTGCACTTCTGCCAATTAACTAAAGGATATGGTAAATGTAAAATGAGTTGAGAACGAATGACTAACCAGTAATTCATTTGTCAAGTTGGGAATGACAGAAATAAGTACTTGAGGAGCACACTGGAATATTTCATAAATTATTTTGTGGTAATATTCCTTCACAACACTTCCAACAGCATTTCTATTCAGTATGCAAGATATTAAAAACCTAGCAATAATGTGCTCAAGCTTGCCACCATACTTCTGAATGATGAAAACAGCCAACCGTCTGGAAGCAGATATACCCTGGAGAAGAACTAGTGAGAATATATTGAATATAGAACATTCAAATTACCTAATATAGAATTAGAAAGTACTCTGAAAAGGAATGCATTTCTTCTACTCCAGTGAGTATCACAATATAATGTATATTCATATACAGTACTTCCAGTTTCTATGTTCCAGGTCGATTCTAGAACCAAAACACTCAAAAAAAAGTATAGTGATCATTTCGGGGGTGATATTTACAATCTCAGAAACATGGGTCTGACATTTCAATATGGTGACGAATTGAGGAATCAAAAGTGTGGTTTTCCCAAAGATAAAAGAAAAAGAAAGAGAGAGAGAAAGGAGAGAAAAGAGATCGATCCTTCACATGAATATGCACCTTTCACTTTGCTCTTTCCAAAGCCATACTCTCGTCTAACCCAAGAAGAAGCATATCAGTTTTGATTCCTCCTACTCAACCTTATAGGAGGAGTAGCCCAAAGCCTTATATAGTGTTTTATTGTTTTATAGCTTTCCTTAAAAGGTTGACCTTTTAGGATGGAACTCCAGGTCTTAACAGTCTAATCTTATGCAACTAAAAAGAATCCAAGTTTGGTCTACCTTATCTAAAATGAAGACTTTCATTTTACCAACCTTTGTGTCTTTAAGAAGATTTTGCAAGATCACGTCTAGAAGCAGTTCGGGTAACTTTCCTTCTGATGGAAGCAGCTCATCGCTGTTCTCTGCCATTTTCTCTTCCAAAACATCAATCATTATTGATGACATAGAAACAACCACACTCAAGGGATGGTGCTCCCTACAAGAGAAGAAGGTAATTTTAACTGGGTGGAGGTACAAGTATAGTTAGCCATATGCTATCATATACATATACATGTAGTGTGTACAATTATGTATGTATATATGAATGTGTGTGTGAGACTATAAGCCATCTGTTACAATTCTACTACAAGTCTTACATATATGACAGGACATAGTTCTGAGGTTCAATTTTTTATCCATTGTGATTGAAACCTCTTACCCTACCGTAGGTGGGAGCCTTTGCGGCATTGGGGTAATGATAATGATGATGATGTGATTGAATTTTAAATGAGTTTTCTGGTATAAGTGTATGACTTTTAACTATAAAACTAGTGAATCATAAAATAGTTTTGCCTTTTTAAAATATAAGATACTGAAACGGCATTGAAAAAAAATGACTGGCAATATACGGTGGCAGCTCATTGGGCTGAAGAACCAATGTTTGTCATCCGGTCATGTACTACTCCTCAGGATCTAATAGCTCACAAGTTACACAATACATCAAATGCATTAAAAGATCTCCCATCAACTGTATTTAACAGAATTTGAAATTAGAGAAAGTGAGGGCTATAAACTGTTTATTTCCCGTCACGAAAACTAAGTACTACTACCTCAGTCCTCCTAAGTTTGGGACAAGGGGGTGTGGTGTGGTTTTTAAGAAAAAAATAGAATTGTGTGGTTGATATTGAATTGATAAAGCCTAAATAAAGTAGGAATGAATTCTAACCACTCAAATATTACCAAATATGGTATGGGACAAACATAATGGGATGGACGGAAAGGGTAAAACGGGACAAAGTTAGGGGGACGGAGGGAGTACTACATATAACTTTCTAGTTTTTAAGCGATGTTCTATTGGATTGGAAAAGATCAGATCATTCCACTATCTCCAAGAGTTTCAACTATTATAATAACTCCTGGCCAAAAAAATTATAATAACTAAAGAGGTATTAAAAAAACTACAGATTCAATGTCATGTAGGTATGTAACTAAGTGAATTCAACTTACCTCAAAACAAAGAAAAAAGTTTTGAACATTTTGAGAACTAAATCATCAGATCCAATGTCAAGCATTAGCACACAAAAGCGAACGTTTGCCACCGTTTCCAGCAGTTGAACCCTTTTCTCCAAAAAGGCATGTTTAGTATCACCAAATTCAGCAAATATACTTAATAAAAGTATAAATATATCCTGTTTATAATGGAGAAAAGAAGCAAAGAAAGAAAATGTTAAATAAAATCATGCCATTAACTTGACTCGCGAAATGGGAAATTGGGAAGGTTAAAATATAATGTGTGGATAGTCCGGGTCATTCTGTAAAACCAAAAGCTACCCTGAAAGTTGTGTCACTGAAACACGGATTTGGTGCCAAGACCCGAATAACTTCACAGAAGCATATACCAACAAGAAGCCTAACATCTCCATCCTTGTGCTTGAGCAACCCAAGTCTGATAAGAGAACTACTTAAGGATATTAATGCAGATTTCATTAATTCAGACTGTTTAAGATGTCCCAAAGCATCTGCAGCTTCCTGCAGCAAGATGAAATCAGATTAGTTCAGCTAAAGGATCTTATGTTAATCTGTGACATAAAACGGTCCTCTGTGTATCTCACTTGTTCAAGAGAATTTCTGCTCTTCGTAATATGATTTTTTGTTGCTTTATTGTCTCTTCTTAAAAGATTTCTTTTACTGCGGTTTACATCATTAAGCTCTCTTACAACTGTAATGCAAAGGTGCATTATACGCCCCTATGACTATGTTAAAGTTTTGAGCATTATATTATAAGTATTATGGAAAACGTGAGATATGCATGCTAAAACATATTAAAAAAGTATATAAAGTTAATGAAGTTCTAAATCACATCTGCAATATACAAAACCATTATCATAAAAACTGAAATTGATGGCGATTATTGAGTCAAGTAATTATTATTTTAATTCAAGTGGAGTCAATTTTATAACTGCAAAACATTAAATCCAACAAGGCGCTTCTAAATGGCGGAGGACCAATGACAGGTTTGAGTTTCTCTATTTTATTGTATGCTTTAGTTTCTCACTATTTTACTATGTGGAATCCAGAAGTAGACTAGATAACATAGAAGAGTATACGTCCGTATTCAATATTCATCAAACATCTCCCCGTCGAACAAAACAGACCAGTCTTGTAGAAAATCACTGCAGTGACTTAAATGCCTAAACCCGCATTATGTATTCCACTAGCGCTAAATATCTAAACCTCAATATCATTTTGGAAGCCCAGTGTCACTTATCAACTAAATCCATCATAAAGAATTGGATTGAACATCAACATTACTAGTTCATTGTTCACTTTCAAGTTGGGTCTCTTTTTCAAATTTGGTTTTCTTTGTCAGAGACCATTACTACCGTGTAACATCAACATTCCAATTACACTAGCGGGTGTGTACATATATGAATGAAAAAGTATATTACTTGTAATGATAATAAATTCCTCGCAAAAATACAAGCTTACAGGGATAATAGACGGAAGGGAAAAGTAGTTAATAAACAAACCATAGGAATAGGAAGCAAAAAATGTCACAACACGTTATTTTCTGTATTTGCGAAGAGAAAAAGAATCGGGACAAATGATGATGGAAATGGACTAGTCATGCATTATGACAATATGGAGTAAGAATATATACGAAAGAATTTATTACTTTGAGTAATTTCACGAGAGTGTCTTTGCCGGGGCAAACTCCGTGAGAGTCAAACCTTCGTCCAATTTCAGCAATTCTCCCAACGGTCTCCAACTCTGATTCCGCCATTTTCTTCAGGAACTAGAGGTAGGATGTGTATTTGAGCATGAAAGTGTTTTATACTTCTCGGACGAACACTACACTAACCTTGATACCTTCTACCTTAGTTGCTAAATAAGCCGAACATGTTTGAAAATTATTTTATACTTCTACTCTTGTAGTGTATTACTGTTTTCAAAATTAATGTTTGATAAATACTGATAAATTCCTTGATTTTGCAGGGGGGAAATGGTTTTGAGAATCTGATTTTTTAAAAATTTTACGGAATAAAATATATCAACGATAAATGTGGAAATGTAAACATTGCACAACTAAAAAGAACATAAAAGTATAATTTAAGCCCGGATTATATTGTATCTTTGTAATTTTATAATCTATATCATCTACTTTTGAAATTTCTGTGGAATTCAAGGAGTGTATTGTTTAAAGAGTTAGCGATTGATTTTTAAAAGTTCATTGTCTTTAAAAGTGTAAGTATGTTGAATGATTATGTACTTTTGTTTTTCTCTAAAACTGTCTCTTCATATTCTCAAAAGTATGCATGGATCTATTCCAGAATCATATTAGAATCGGTTAATTATCTACTCGGAATAACGAATTGACCAACTCGTCATGGATTAGTACTGGTTCAAGGGGTGGTACGAGGATGGTCTCGCTATTCAAGATATGTAGATTAAAAGCTAGTTTTAATCATTTTACGATAAATATTTTGAAGAGAAAAATAGAAGTGAGGTTGGTTCGATTCTTTGAAATAAAATTAGGAATCATTTGAAAAATCATTAATCCAATATCAGTTCGGTCCTAGAAATATTTTGAAGAACATGTAGTATCATATCGATACAATTCTTGTATGAGGTAGTTAATCGTTGAGACATAAAAATATATTTAATTATGCTGGGATATTAGGTCCTGGCCCAAGCACAGTCCAAAATATCCCTAAGGAGCCCAAGCTCCGCATAAAACCACTAGGCAGGAAATCCTGCTTGGGTAGCACCGCACAGGTTTAGTCGAACGGCCCAGTTATCACACTTGGGTCATTTTTTCACCATTGGGGGCTGGCCATGGCAGAACATCAAAGGGTTATTGGCGGGAAGCGCATTTAACGCAAGAGATCCGGAGGATTTTATGATTAGGAGATCATCCACTCAAGGCGGTCATGTCACCCTCGCTCTCCAACCACTTGCTCCTAGTATAAATATCATCATTTATTTCATTCTAAAAAGAACAATCTTGTGCGCACAAGCGGCATTATACTATTCTCCAGCTCTGTAGCTCTGCCTAAGATCGGAATTCCCATTCGGCACTTCCGTTATCATGAGTTTATTATTGGAATAGTTGGTATGTTTGCATCTCCTTGTTATTGTTTCCTTGCACCTTATTCACCTTACCCAATTTATTCCATTGACAACCAAAAGAGCGTGTCCAGCCTTTGGATCATGAAGAATAAACCTCAACAAATCATTATCGTGATTTTATTTATTGCTCAACCGCCAACACACACAAAAAAAACGAGTAAATATTTAACCTTATATAAGTGAATAAGTTTTAAAAAGTTGAAAATGACTAGAAAATACGGAGTAATTATTAACAAGTAAAGCTATATTCCACACATGATTGTACCTTATGTAATAACTAGTTTTGTATACGCGGGTTGCGCGAAGGGATAAATGCCCAAAGCTATACACATATATTACATTACACTTAAATAGAGTTGGCTTTAAGTTTTAATATATAAAAAACTTGATAAAAGATTTCAATTGATATCACAAGTGAGAAGCTTGCACAAACCCCCCGAATCATGACTCATGAGGGTGTTTGATAGTTTTTCTATTTATCACATTATAAATGCCGGCTTATAACAAAGAATTCCATCTTCAATTTGTTCTAGATTGAAGTTTTGACTTTTTATCCAGTAAGGAAATACAAATCAGCCCTAATACAAATATATAACCAGCGTTAAATACAGAGCAAGAATAAAAGATATTATAGGGGCAGATCGAATTAAGTGTTAAAAAGTACCAGCAACATACTCCTACCAACAATATAATGACTTTACAATCTGATAGTATAATATACTCCGTAATAAGTTATTTATTTACTCATATACAAATGAAAGATAAATAAAAGAATTCTCATTCATAAACATTCACATTTCCTACCAACAATATAATGACTTTACAATCTGAATCAGGATTTATCTCGGACATTCCCTTTCGTGCAGTCTACTTCTTTAATTTGTATTCGTTAGATTGGGGTTAGGATAAGCACCACAAAAGTCCTTCCAGTAAGATCAAGTAATGTAGAAAATTGGACAAGAAAATAAATACTTTATCGGGAAACACATTGAATGAGATATTATTTCATAATAGTATTTTTAATTAGACTAATCTATAATGGCACACTACATGAGCTAAATAATTATTTCCACTCCCTGGCTTCCATTTTCTGCAAACTCATAACAGAAGGCTCAAACAAAGTCTAAAGAGTTTATAAATACACATATTGAAATAACATGTGAAGTAATACTTCTGGATAGCCGCATAAAATTACGGGGTTTTACCATTTCTTTCTAGAAAAAGTTTTCCAATGCTTTCAAACCATAAATAGTACAGTGACAACACCCTTGAATAGGAATCATTAAAGGAAAAAGAACTATCCTAGAAAAAATTATAACATCCGCAACAATAAAAAAAATCTTGATACAACTTAACAATCAAGAGCCGTGATAAAAATAACATGCCTAACCCAGGAATGTGTTTGAAATATCTTATTTTTATTAAAGTTTCAAGAACTAAAAAGTCTTACAAAAAAGAGTCACATACAAATATGATGTGTATACAAAAGAGAAACAATTTTTTTAGCATTTTAATAAACACTTATTACTATTTAGTTTACCTATGAAAACTCTAGTTGACAAGGATAAGTTCTATAGCAAGACGATTTTCATAAGGAAAAATTCACATAAATAATCTCACCTTTTTCAGTTCTTCCATTATTAATCCCAAATATAAGTATTCCTAAAATAATTTGATTTATACAGGTCATCTTCTCAAATTAAGCCCATGACCGGAACAGAAGAATTCCTCAGGTCACCCGAGAGGTGTTTTAATCTGATTAGACCTCACTCATTTTTACTTTTCCATTTTTCCCCTTCCCTTCTATATTTCTCATTCTCTTCAGCTCTAGTCCGATTTCTCTTCTATTCTTCTTCTCTTTTATTAGATCTCCTTTTCCGTCCATTCTTCTTAATTTCTTTTACAAATCCAGTCCTCAGACATCCAACTAAAGGGAAAAATAGAAGAAGAAACCGGAAATAGCCGCAAGAGAACCATCGGAGCCTGGAGAAATACTGTTCCGGCGAGGACCTTAGGACCTCCATTCGATCGTTCAATTAGAAGCAGACTCGGATGCCCTCCCTCGCTCGATACCAGTAGCAGGATGTTCCTCCATTTCATCTTTGACGAGAGAGTTACCTTGAAGCAACGAAAGTGCCCACCGTCTTTTCCGCCGCCACCTTCCTTTTAGCCGGCGATTGGAATTGATTCAAGAAGAAGATGAAAGTGCCGGCAACACCTTTGTTTCCATGTGGATTGAACTATTGTTGTGGTCAAAGACAAATTGTGCAAAGGAAGATGAACACTTCTTACATGTCTTCTACGATGAAGAATGAAGATGACGAGGCATGGATGGAGTGGATTCAGATACAAAACAATTTTTTTTACCGGTTTAGAAAGTAGCAGGTGACCTAGATCAATGATGGAAGAACACACATGAACTTAGGATTATATTAGAATTACACGTAGTTGGGATTAATATTAGAAGAACATGAAAAGGTTGGATTATTCTTGTGAATTTTTCCTTTTCATAAATATGCTTGAAAACTATTGTGTTAAAGAATACTACGTATATAGTTACAACAACAACAATTTCTAAGCCTTATTCCAAAACTATTGTGTTAAAGAATATATAGATAAATATAGAGAAAAATGAATATATCTTGATTCATATTCTTAAATGTCTTGATACAAACTTTTGAAATAGCAGGCTTTAGTTACTTAGCATTATCCTGATAGAAATTTTAAAATGCTAAAAAAAATGTTAAAATAGAGAGAAATTAAAGAAACCATATGACATTTTAAAAAATTTGCTACCAGCCTAATTAATGAAAATGTGCCTTTCAATTCCACTCTATCTAGCCAATCAAATGTCGTTAAATTCGTTAATTATATGTTCTCTACTGTCACAATTAGAAGTTTAAACAGAGTTAAGGCGATCCTCTAACTTTATCGCCTCTGTGTTTTGCATTACTTGAGTTAAAGGATCACCGGTCCATTCACTTGGCCCTTGTTCAATATATGTTGTGGAACCAGTAATTCCATTATTTATGAAAAATAAACCTGGTGTATTTTTTAAGGTGGAGAAATCAGAAATGGTTGTCATTTTTTAGTCTGGCATGTTCCTCCTGAAAGGTTTGATAGTAAGTCCCTTCATAGTATACATATGTATGCAGTATGCTTGTAGTTTTTGTTTTAGGTGGGTGATGTAGTGTATTTCATTCTAATTGGTGATAAACCCATTAGGAAATTCATCGATTATTAGTATATAATGCTTTATCATATCATATTGATGTGATTAAAGTGAAACCAATAATTCCATTTGTTATTGGAGGGATGACAAACAGACCCTAAGCCCTCTATTTCAATAGAACACAGAACAGTTTCAAATACTATTTTAAAAGTGCATAAATCTAAAATTGAACCTACCGAACTTGTCGTTTCAATTTGAAGGAGCCCCCTTTGCCCAAATGAAATTCGAAAATGAGATTTGAGAAGTTTGGTAGTGTACTCTGTGAAGAATACGTAGCTACATAGAGGAGTATCAAATTAAATGACGATTGAGAAGAAGACAAGGCTGGCGGTAGGCTTGCTTCTGAGCGGTGCGAAATGGGTGAGTAGAGCTGGCTAACCTAATCAATGTGGTGAGATGAGTGACACGTTGTGGAATTGAACGGGACAATCGAGATTGAATTGACCAGAGGTTTTTAACAAGGATGATGGTGGATAGACAAACAGAGGTTTACTCATGAGCAAAATAGAATAGAGTACATTCACTCAAGCACACTGTACACATTTATTAAGCTATGATGTACCACCAACAAATTTTTAATACCTAAAATATCCTTACCTTGATTCATGCTTATAATATTGTAGAGATGTAGAGATAAGTGTAATAGTTGTATAACGCTTATCATTCTTACGCATTAACTTATGTAAACAATGAGTCAAAACGAGACTGGATTTTCGAGTCATCGTCCTAATATTGAGGTTTGTAATTTAAGTAAATTTGAATGCTTAGACGTGGTTTGCTCTTGTAGACCTCCACACTACTAGATGAATTACCCTTGTTTCATTTGTTTTTGAATTATTTCTTATCGTTTTGTATAATTATGTAGTAGACCAGTACATTATTTAGACTTATGCATGTTATTAAATATAGATCTTGTTTAAATTTGTGTTTTCCATAAGATTTATATTATGGTTCATTTGAAATTCATTGATTAGGCTCATCAATATGAATAAGAGCATCTTCAATGCTCTTCTTTCAACACAAGTTAAATTTTGCCAAATGTCAATTAAAAGAGGGCACTTTAGATCCACAAGAAATACATATCCAAAGAAATAAAATATACACCCCCAATGCATACTGTTAACCGCATGAAACATTATCCTCCCATCATTTATCTAATTCCAAAATAAAATAGATTAGGAAACGTAAAATAGTAGATTGACTCGGAAATTACTGATTTGGAAAAGAAGAAAGCCCACGGCAGACAATAACCTATTTCCCATGGAAGATCTACAGTTTATCTAGATGTTTTCCTCCACCATCACTCATTTTTGCAAAGCTTAATCAAGATCTACTTTAAAGTTTAAATTTGTGGTAAAATCAAAGAAGTTCTTCTTGATAAAGTTTGGGATGAAAAATAAAAATCACGGAATCCATCTTTTGATATTAATTGCCACTACACATCTATATATATATATATAAAAACGGAAAAGTGGGGAGGGAATTTGGACGGGAACACTGTAGCATCTTGGGAATACTGTTGAAAAACGTTAGCAGGGGCGATGAGTGTGTTTTGGGATTCGCATTAAACAATAATTTGCTAGAAAAAGTCGAAATTAATTTGGCATTATGTTGCCAGATAATGCATGAACTGTCTTTTGGGATTTCCAAAAGTGTGCATTGATTATAGCTGTTAATTAATACTCCTATTGAAAAGTCCCAGTACCAGGCCAGGTATCTTTTGGATTTCCCCATAAACATTTGTTAAGCATATGGCCGGTCAGCTTCTCCCTTACGTACACGACTATCACACAGTCTCCTATATATATAGGCTAGACCTACATGTTCGTTAGCACCAATTCAACCTGCCAAGGTGCCAACCAACGTAACCAAACCAAGCGTTTGAAAAGATATGAGAATTCAAGTGAAGGTGAATAGGTATCACTAAAATCTTTGGTGATATGCATGCAGGAATGAAACGTTTGCAAAGGGTTGCTTGGCGGGTTTGTGTCAATCACCGGCAGGCGATCAGTAGTAGACAGATGGGCGGCCATACTATGTGGGTTTGCAGCCGCTTGGTTTTGTAGCGGAGAAAATGCATTATGATCACCCATTGGAAGCGGCACACCTACAAAGCGCTTAGGAGCATAGGGGATGATATTCACGGCCCTGTTTGCGCAGAAAAAGTATATGAGCGAAGTGTTTTTGGTTGTCGCCGTAATGCCGTTGATGGGCGGCAGAGTGAAGTTGTTGATGGCCCATCTGGTGCAGATTGCGGTGATCTTGGAATGAACGATTGGACAACGGGTTCGCTTTTTCGTGTTGCACAAATTGAGGCTTTTGAGAAATTGCATGAAAAAAAGATGGCTGGTATGGACTTCACTATCCATGTAGATAATGCTTCTAAGGCAGATGAAATTAGGGGAGCCAAGAAAATGGATTTCCCCATAGTCACCCAGCAGCAAGTTAATTCATTAATCAACTGTTAGTTTGATAGATGTGATTATCATGTAGTAATGAACTAATGCATTTAATAATCAAGCTCGCAATACGTACTGTTTCATTCATTTTATGATTCATAAAAGAAGAATGAAAGAATCAGTTTGCATGATTATAAAAGAACATATTTTAGAGGGTAATAGTGACGAGTGTTTTGTGCATAGACAAATAACATGTTTTTTTTTTGGTAAAACACAAATAACATGTTTTGATTATATGTGGGATATATATTTCTGGAAAAATAATTAAAATACCCCAAACTTTGAAGAGGTGTGACATAAACACCCCCTCAAATAATCATGTAATTAAAATACCCCAAACTTTATATAAAAAAGTTATTTTAGCACCATAATCATGTATTATTTATTTCAAAATTGTAATTTTGTGGTGTTAATTGCATAATTTAAAATGGCAAATTGAAAATGCTGCGATTATATAGAGTGGGAGGTGATACTATTTATTTTATAATTAAAGTTTAGAATGTTAATTGTTTCTCAATTCATGAATGTTAAAATATTTTAAATTATGAAATTATCACAAAATTAACATTTTTGAAAGAAATAATACATAACCATGGTGCTAAAATAACTTTTTATATGAAGTTTGGGGTATTTAAATTACATATATAAGTTTGGGGTACTTACCTCACACCCCTTCAAAGTTTGGCGTATTTTATTTATTTTTCCCATATATTTCATGGTATGCAACACACACAAACACATTAGTAAATAATGAAAGCAGATAATTATGTACTCCGTAACAAATAACAATATGACTTCTTGCATTAAGTAATACGGAGTAATATAAATAAAAATGAAGTTGTTTTATCAAGGTAATATGTAACACGTACGTATTCCTTGCTTGAGCATAGTGACAAACACATTGACAAACATACATGTGTGATTTTTTTTCCTGCATGTAACATATTGAGTTGATGTATACTTGGTACGTAGTATAGCTAAATGAAATCAAAAGGAATTGAATGATTTGATTACCTAATCTCCGACTATACACCTTAAATTTGTCGCCTCCTTGAATCCCTTACATGAAAAATTACTAAACACTTTAAATTTGACACCTCTTTGATTCATTTAAAGGTGTTTCAAATATAACATGTGCATAAAATGCTTTGATTTTGGTGGATTTGTATGCAAAAATACCTCACCACTATCCTCCGAAGACTAACGATGCATGTAACTTACAAGTGATGGGGTATTGTTAACAAGTACTCCGTAACACTTTGCAAACTTCTTATGCTTAGATTACTTTAGCTAAAGCAAGAAAATGGAGTACCGTCTGTTGGGAGGAAAAGGTAAAAGGTTTTATTTGATCTTAGCTACGATTATTGGTAGGCTTTATTGAAAATTAAAATACCTATAGAGCCTTTTCAAGATTCAAGAAATATAATGGTTACCAAATTTTAACTAGGGGAGATAATGGAGAAGCATTTGGGTGGAAGTGACTTTAAAAATTATGTGGGTGTTACAGTGATATGTGTTGAGTGGCTCTGATCCACTGGTAGATTTTAATATAAAAAAATCTATAGTGCCATTACATGGTTAAAGAAAAGGTGAGAACTATGATATCCAATTAATAAAAAATGAGGTATCACACCAAAAATAGTGCCAATTATATTGGAAATTATTGAGTAGATAACCGCCCACATTAGAAGCATTTCAATGCATATTGAGATAGACGTACTTTACAAATTACAATGATGTATTGGATAGCTCCATGTAGTAAATGATTCTCTATCTTTACCAATGAATGCAAAGTATATACAAAGTATATGTGTGATATTCTTTTGTTCCACAACCAAACATTAGGACAGAACAACCCTGTGTGGGATGTTATCATGTGCACTCATGATCATTTGGGTCCTAATGTGGCTTTTGATAGAAGTTGTTTTTGTAGTCATGCCCAATTGTTTATTACTATATTGTTTATTCACCCGTTATCGCCTTATCGGTCATACTTGGTTGAAAAATCCTATACGTAACAACGATTGTAAACATACAAATTACCTTAGAATGATATACACACACACACACACATATAAGGAAGTGTTTCAAAGTTCATAAATCTTTATTTTTTTTATCTTTTATGATTCATTTTATTAAATTGAAATTAAGTTTTCTTTACTAGAGTCATATTAATTTTGAATACTCAAATAAACACATTCACATATTGGAATAATATTCCGTGCATCGCACGGGTACTATACTAGTTTAGCTTGAAAACCGGATAGATATTGCCGAGTCAGCATGTTAGACACCCTTTCTAATTTCCAACACTTGGTTTGAAAGTTGTGTTTCCACGTCAATTTAACAGGACCAATAACTGAAAGCATTGGAGATAAAATTTCAATCACACTTTCAAAATGGTCTCACGTGTAAAATTTTTACTATGTTGAAAGAGGAGCATTGGAGATGTTCTAATTCATAAAAAGTCTATGAATTACGAAAGTCAATAGATCTTTTTTTTAAATCCACCACAATCATGTAGTTTACCAGTACGGTGTTTAAACTTATGCATGTTACTAAGGGGTGTTTGGAACTGATTCTGCTTATACTTCTTTTTTAAAGCAAAAGCAGAATCACAATCAGTTTTCAGAAGCTGGTCTCTCTCAGCTTCTAAAAAAATTGATTCTAGGAGTAAATTATAGCACCGAAATCACTTCTGTACTTTCACCCAAACACTCCAACATCTGCTTCTACTCTCTGAAAGAGCAAAAACAGTTTTAAGAATCAGATCCAAACACCCCTAAATATAGCTCTTTTTTGAACATAGGGTTTTCCATAATTCCCATGTTATAAGGGTGATTCCCGGTGGTCGCGACGAGAACATAGGGTTCATGTACGGTCGTCGCGATTTGGGGTGGTTCCCGGTGGAATTTTTTGATGAGATTTTTTGAGCATCTGATTCATCAAGTCTAGTTTACTCATACCAAATTTCAGCTAAAAATTTAATCGAGAGCGCATTCAAATTAATTTGAGAACGCAAAAATGCGCAGTTATCTTCAAGAATTAATTTGAATGTGTTCCCGATTGAATTTTTAGCTGAAATTTGGTATGAGTAAACTAGACTTGGTGAATAAGATTCTCAAAAAAATTCATCAAAAAATTTCACCAGGAACTGCCCCAAATCGCGACGGCCGGACAAAACCTCCTATAGAAGGACTTAATTGACCTTTTTATGAAAGTTCGAGGACCTATTTGACAATTTTCCCAATTTATATTATCATTCATTTGGAGTTCATAGATCTAGGCAAATCAATAGAAATAGTTCATAAAAATCCCTATTGACTTAAAAAGTCAATGATCCTTTTTCTAAAATTCACGGCAATCCATATAATATACTACGTATATCTTATCTATTTACTCCCTCCGTCCCGTTGGAATGTTCTCGTTCACTATTCATTGGTCAACTTAGGTCACTCCTAATCTTTTACTTTATATATCAAATTTTTATCAAATTGAACTTTTCTTAATCAGGTTTTGTAGCGATTTTAATGTAGTGTCTGAATATGTAAATTTTATTTACTAAAAATAAGCGCAATGTGAACATGGATCGAGTTGCTTTATCGTCCGTCAAGCATCGTAAACCGAACGGGAACATTCTAACGGGACGGAGGGAGTATTTGATCTGAATATCTGATATTTCACTTGTCTGACCCTTCACTCCTTCCACCGTTATGCTATGGTCCTCTATAACTACTTCTTTCCACGTCTTCTTTATCTTTACTTTTCAATTTCATCAACATTTCTCAATTCTATTAAATCAAATTACGATTTGATTACAAAAATACTAATCGTACTCTTTCTCTAATAATTTACATTTTTTTAAAACCGCTCATAAATGTTAAACCCCCACCAACTGCCTAAAAATCTAAAGTGAAAGTCTATTCAATAAATGAATACAAAATGTTACCATATGTATGTCTATAGAATGTGTAAGTGGAGAAGTGATCCTGTCCAGCAATTTTTTGGTCGAACGCCGCCCGAACATGACCATTTGGGGCACTTCCCAATGTAATTTTTTGATGAAATTTTTTGAGCATGTTCTTCATCAAGTCTAGTTTGTCCATATCAAATTTCACCAAGAAGTGCCCCAAATGGCCATGTTCGGACGGCGTTCGGACTGGGGGCTGCTGGACGCCTGGACAGGATCATCTCTCTATGTAAGCGTAAAAAATCATTGAAAATAGGGAAAAGTACATAAAAGGTACATGTGGTTTGGGCCGTTTTCAGATATGGGCACTTGTTTCATTTTTTAACAAAGTGGAACATGTGTTTCAATTCCGTTATCACAGCAGGGGCATGACGTCTAACGCCGTTAGAAAATCTAACCCCAATTTTCAAAAGTCTCCGAAACATTAAAAGAAAAATACCGAGAGGTGCGCCTCGTCAACCAGATATTTCCCAGTATTATTTGTCTAAAACTAATAAATTATCACAAGTTCAAAATTTATGAAGCTCTTCTCACATCTTGATTGCTCTTGAGAAGTTTTATTCAAGCATTAATTGTGTTTATCACGGTTGAGTAGTGAAGATAGTTGATAGGGGATGTGGCCATGTGGGGAAGGTCAAACTAGAGATGTCAAATGTTTTGTTAACTTTAATTAAGTCGGGGACAGTAAAAAGTGAACTGTTGAGCGTATATAGAATTACCCATGTAAAAATGTGACCTTCATGTGGATGGTTCCAGAATTTTCTTCATACATAATTAGGGGTGGACCGATTCCGGGTCAGGCCGGGTACCGGGCCGGGTACCGGGCCGGGCCTGATCGGGCTTTTTTTGGGGGAAGTGAGGCCCGGAATCGGCCCGGGTAGCCAGCGGTTCCGGGCCGATTCAATGGTTTTTTTTCTTTTGTTTTTCTAATTAACCCCCGACCCCCCCTACCCCTCACCCCCCAAACCCCCCCAAAACACCCGGCCCAACTCAGGAAAAATTAAAAAAAATTGAAACACAAAAATAAATAAAATAGGCTCGGACCGGGAACGGACTGGGCCCAGACCGACCGGGCCGGTTCCTATTTTAGCAGGCTCGAGCCCGCCTCAAGTAACCACCGATTCGGGCCACCCGGACCGGTCCTATGACCGGGTACCGGGTCGGGTCAGGTACAAACAATACCAGTCCGGACCGGGCCAGTTGGCCCGGAATCAGTCCGGGCCGGTCTGGTTTGCCCGGAACCGGTCCATCCCTATACATAACCCATAAACGGTTCTCTAGTGAGGTGATTGATGAATCCGGGACTCAGGCCATAACTACAGGATTCGGTTCAGTGGCCCATTCGGTTCTCTACGTATGTTTGCTATACGATGAAGGTAAAAGGGCTCTATCGAATTACAGGACCCTCCAATTGATAAACCTAACCAACAATATATAACAGCACTGGTTATGCACTAAACATGTACTATTAGAGGGCTATATCCAAATAAAGGGCACTTATCCTTCTCTCTTATCAATGATTTGCCTCTTCAGACCCTCATTCTCCTTCCGTAGTTTCATAATCTTCTGCTTTAGAGAGTCCACATTTCGATTTGAAGTTGAATCTTGCCGAGACTCTACAAGCTCCATGCTGCTGACAAGCACTGAAACAAGCCCCAAACAAGAAATTATCCGTGAGAGATTGCAAAGAAAGCATCTCCTTTTCTCCGTATCTACAGACCCTACTTGAGTTTATTGAAGGACAGGAAGCTCAGGAGCTAGGATATATAGGTCGCTTACATTCTTTTTCCAGTTCTTGGACCTTCTTTTTCAACTCAGTCTTTTCTTCTTGCTCAACCAAAAGACAGTCCCTCAAGCCCTGAATCTCATACTGATCTGAAGGAAAGTTTTTTAGATGGAGTGTGATCAGTTAAAATAGAAGTAAACTAAACTCAACACCTACATTTAGACTCTACATCAGAAGAGACTTGTTCTAATCTCCTTGTTAGAGCTGTGATATGGTTCTTATGCACAGTTAAATCTTGACGAAGATGTTGACAAACTGCTTCGTTTGCCGCCTTTTCAGCCTGTAACTCTCTAGACAATGCAATCAAATAATAGCATTACATAAATTATTCGAAGATTTCATTTCTTGGAATTTCTAATTACTTGGTGAAACTTCAATAAAAATCACCTCGAGGAAACTTACCTGATTTGAGATTCCATGACTTGAATCCTCATTGCGTTTTCATGCTTGAGCGAGCCAATAACAATCTTAAATTCCTGATTACAAGTCTCAGATTACTTAGGACACAAGATTAATGGCAATCATATGCTTTTTATAAAGATTGAAAAGGGCAGCCTGGTGCATATTAGTGTCCCCTAAAAGGCATCCGGTGCATATTAAAGTCCCCTAAGGCGAGGGTCTGGCGAAGGGTCCCACCACAAGGGGCTGGTGAAGGGTCCCACCATAACTATCAATAGGGGAGAACCCTTATCATTTTAACAAGAGACAGCTCCCATGATCCTGTAACGTCTTTGCACATAGCAACACCGTAACCAGTGCGTCAAGGCTCCTCTTCTACATCAATCACATAAAGGGCAGCCCAATGCACATTGGCATCCTCGCAAGGCAAGGGTCCCATCACAAGGTGTACAAGGGGCAAGCCTTCTCTTGTCATTTTTGACAAGAGCCGCTCTCAAATTTGAACTTGTGACCTTCCAGTCACAAAGCAACAGTGTAACTAATGCACCAAGGCTCCTCTTCTCTTCAATCACATGATAACAAAAAATATTGAAAGGCAAGTAGAAACTGAGTTTATACCAGAGTACACACGCATACTATAACATTTGAGATTTTGTAAAGATGTGCATTAAGCCAATAACTCACATTTTCTTTCTGGGAATGCTCATCATTTATTTTTTTCAGTTCATCCTTCAACATCTGGCAGCTAGTACGGCTTTCAATCTGTCATCTTGTTCAAAAAAATTCAAAGCAAAATATAGAAAGGTTAACTAACATAATTATTCTCTAGTTGTCATTTTGGGATCATTTAAGTTCACCAATAAATCTGAAAGGGTCACCCTTATAACAATACTAGTACAGTAGTGCACATTGCACTATTACAGTCATATATGTCCAACAGAAAAAAGCAATACAAAAAATTATATGTTCCAAATAAATAAAATAATCAATGGATCTATTAGCAAATGTAAAAATATCTAATGGAGATTAAGATGATGTTATTAGCTCTCATAAAATCCCAAAAGAACAACTCATTGGCGTTTTTCTTTAAACATTAATTCTACTAGGCTAGCCCAAAAGTTATGGGTATATGCCCTGCATAACTAATATAATTGCTATCAAAAAAATCTCTATCATTTTGATACAATGGAGGGTATCCTTGCTACTGCATTTTTTCCCAGGTTTCATTTTACATTAATTAGTTGCTGAAGTAGCTTGTTAGTTTTAGTTAATATAGGTGCATGTACATGTATTTCAAGATCATGTATTTTGTTGTCAGATGTCATGTAATGCTATGAGTCTTTTGTATTCACTTACAAGCTGGTATTAATAGAAATGCAGAAGAAAATTACCCCCATTAGTTAGTAAAGCTGGTTTGAGACAGCTTAACATCTCTCCCAGGAGATTCATGTTAGATTATGAACACAATTGGATTTTACACGATTTGTAAGACTTGTTTAGGAAATCTGGACCTGATCTGTCAATCTGTTAAGTGACTCTGCATAACTCTTTCTCAGGCGCTCATTTTCTGCAAGATAAAATAAATAAAACAGAATTACGCTTGAAAGTATAGGCATGAAACAAAAATAGACTGAACAAGGATAATGACGGTTTATTGTATGGAATAAATGATATACAGTGATCGTTGGTCCATTGAACATTTACATCCTGCACTTTGAAGTAAACATATAGCATGTGAAAAAACATTAAACATAAAAGCAGCTTAAAATGGCGTTTGGCAAACACATTACCCCCGCTTATTAATTATTTAAACAGTATCTTTAACTCTTTTTATAATTGCTGCATTGCCCCTCAACATTAGCATACAATTTATTTATTTATGGGAAAAGGGTCAGATAGGCCCTAGTACTTACATAAAAAGGTCAAATAACCCCTTATATAGGAGGCTCTGTCCGACCGTCTCCATTTGGGGCGGTTCCCAGCGGAACTTTTTGATAAAATTTTATTCATTATGTCTAGTTTACTTATACCAAATTTAAGCTAAAACTTCAACAGGGAAGGCATTCAAATGAATTCTTGAAGATAACTGCGCAGTTATCTTCAAGAATTCATTTGAATGTCTTCCCGGTTGAAGTTTTAGCTGAAATTTGGTATGAGTAAACTAGACTTATTGAATAAGACTCTCAAAACATTTCATCAAAAAATTCTACCGGGAACCGCCCCAAATGGCGACGGCCGGACAGAGCCTCCTATATAAGGGGTTATTTGACCTTTTTATGTAAGTACAAGAGCGTATATGACCTTTTTCCCTTTTATTTATTTCTACATGTACTCCCGACCTCAAACAGTCAAACAACCTTTGCATGCCACCAAACACCAGCTAGCTGGTTGCCACTGTTATTGACCGTCTCGATAACTAAATGTTTGCGCAATTGATCACCACCGATGTCAGTCACCACTGACCTCCAAAATTGCCAATGGCCCCCACCTCAATCGCCACAACTGTTGGCATCCGCTGCCTGTGGTGGTCGCCATCACCATGTCAGATGCTACTGCCGCTAGTACTCAGACATCACTTTTGTGACTGCCACTACTACCACTTCGTCAACTGCAATCCCAAATGATCCTCACCATCACCACTTGACAGTTGCCACTGCCACCCCGGTTGTCACCACCCTTAGTCACCACCGATTGCAAACATAGTTGGCCACCACCACCAATTTTGGCCAACATTATCATCGACTACCAATGCCACTGGCTGACACAATTGTATACGTAGACAGCCAGTGACTGGCACATTCTTCAGTCGCCACCTGCACTAGTTGCCACCACCACTATCATCACCATTGGCCGCCACCAGCTTACACCTTCATTGTCAACATCAGAGTCTGCTATGAACGTCATGAACAGACACCAACCACCTTTGTTGCATGTGCTAGCCACCATCATTGCAAACCATTACCAAAACTCAAGGGCAAATATGTTATCATTTACTATTTAAGTTATAATTTAATCATGGTGAAGTAATTTCATTTCATTTCATTTCATTTTCATTTACCCCAGTGCCGCAAAGGGCTCCCACCTACGGTGGGGTAAAGGGGGGTCGGATGTACGCAGTCTTACCCCTGTACTAAAGCACAGAGAGCTGTTTCCGGATGACCCATAGTGAAAATTGCGTCCAAAATTGCATGGACTGACTGCTGCTTCATAACAAAGAAACGCAGACAGTTTAGTGAGCCATTTTGCTTTATTCCATCATAATCTCAAGCCAAAAAATAAGGAATCTTTGGCTCCAATGCAAATGATGGAACTAATCATGGTGAAGTAATGTATGGTTTTATTATTGAGCCTATTATCCCTATGAAATTAACAATTATAATATTTAAGATGCACCACATATTAAGCATTAGATCTTATCGGACAGGGGGAAGATGTTGGCTTAGGAGTGGAAGGTGACGATTAGTCCTTGCTCAACCTTGAATTCCCACCCAGCTGCCATTACAAGCGGAAAGCCTTTGGGTGATGTTATACTGCTAACCGGCTATGAAAGGAAGATTTCAAGCCTGCTTAACACATGCGAGTTGGGTGATTTTCACTAAGAAGATGTGACAACCCAGTTAATGAATGAGTTGATTGCCTTATTGAAATCCCTTACTTTACTTAGTAAACATTGCTTAGTGACGCTTTGTTATCCCTGAGACATCGTGTAGTACTCAACTACTCAAGCTGCACAATCAAACTTCTAATAGATCCTTGACTTTGGGGCCACTGATCCCATTTCAAATAACCAATCTCTTTTCACAAGTATTTATTTCTCAAGTTCACTTTCATACCTTTTCTCAAGGGTCAAAAGGGAAGGTTGTAGGAATTAAAGAAGTTGCTCTATGTTTATGTCTAAAGTCCCTAGTGTCCATTCAATTTAATTTATTTAAGTTACATACTTACATTCACCTACATACTGTGCGTCTTATAATCATCTCGCGTGAGTTTGGGATAGTTCAAGATAGACAAGAAAGACAATAGGAAGTTAGGAACGTGCCTCATTCAAAGGGATTGACAATTTATCTTGTCCAAACAATTGAGTAGACAGGTATAGGTAGTCTTACCCATGTTTTTGCATAAGAAAGTATAAATACTAGTGTATTGCACACTTGGCTATGTCATGCAGGAATCTAGGGAGCAATTGTAAAAAGCAACTGCATCATCGCTTTTCAAGACTATGTGTGCTAAGCAAACAAAAGCAACTGCTCTGGTCAAACACAAGTGATGTGATAGCTCATAGCATATTAAAAAACACTTTTCTGTGCCTCAAAGTTACCCTTGAATAAACCTAAACCTGGGGTTGAGGCATTGTGCTACCCATCCTTTAGCTCAATTGATGCTAAGTCAAGGTCTTATTCATCTCACTTCAGTCAATGTTTTGCCACTTATACAGCAATAATGCAGAGATTATATGCTATTTTGCTTACTTTAATTTTAAGCCAAAGCCTATAAATATTCCACCACCTCTCCCAATCCCAGTAGGTGAAGTGGTGAAAAAGACAGAAGCATTCCACTTATTTCCCTTCTTTGGTATCACAAGTAACCATAAGAAATGATCAAAGAGTCAACACTAATGACTACTGAGAAAAAAACTAATAAAAAAACTGAAATTTTCCTTGAAAATGTTCTGTCCGGCAAAAGAAGAGCCACAACTAGCAAATCAAGCACAAGACACTTTATTTGTGCATAATGCAAACCAAAACAAAAACAAGGCAACAACAACAACATCCAAGCCTAGTCCCCGGAGAGTAATTGTGCAAATCAAAGCATGAGATAAAATTGAAAATGACATGAACATTGAACATTAAGTCATTAAAATACTTGTTCATTAAAATACTTGCTCTATGTTTATGTCTAAAGTCCCTAGTGTCCATTCAATTTAATTTATTTAAGTTACATTCACCTACATACTGTGCGTCTTATAATCATCTCGCGTGAGTTTGGGATAGTTCAAGATAGACAAGAAAGACAATAGGAAGTTAGGAACGTGCCTTAATCAAAGGGATTGACAATTTATCTTGTCCAAACAATTGAGTAGACAGGTATAGGTAGTCTTACCCATGTTTTTGCATAAGAAAGTATAAATACTAGTGTATTGCACACTTGGCTATGTCATGCAGGAATCTAGGGAGCAATTGTAAAAAGCAACTGCATCATCGCTTTTCAAGACTATGTGTGCTAAGCAAACAAAAGCAACTGCTCTGGTCAAACACAAGTGATGTGATAGCTCGTAGCATATTAAAAAACACTTTTCTGTGCCTCAAAGTTACCCTTGAATAAACCTAAACCTGGGGTTGAGGCATTGTGCTACCCATCCTTTAGCTCAATTGATGCTAAGTCAAGCTCTTATTCATCTCACTTCAGTCAATGTTTTGCCACTTATACAGCAATAGTGCAGAGATTATATGCTGTTTTGCTTACTTTAATTTAAAGCCAAAGCCTATAAATATTCCACCACCTCTCCCAATCCCAGTAGGTGAAGTGGTGAAAAAGGCAGAAGCATTCCACTTATTTCCCTTCTTTGGTATCACAAGTAACCATAAGAAATGATCAAAGAGTCAACACTAATGACTACTGAGAAAAAAACTAATAAAAAAAGTGAAATTTTCCTTGAAAATGTTCTGTCCGGCAAAAGATGAGCCACAACTAGCAAATCAAGCACAAGACACTTTATTTGTGCATAGTGCAAACCAAAACAAAAACAAGGCAACAACAACAACATCCAAGCCTAGTCCCCGGAGAGTAATTGTGCAAATCAAAGCATGAGATAAAATTGAAAATGACATGAACATTGAACATTAAGTCATTAAAATACTTGTTCATTAACAACAGACGCACATCTATCACAACCCATTAACTAGTCAAGGTCTTTCTAAAACAAGATGGAATATGTAACTAGATATAAAAATTAAAAAAAGTGAATATAGAACAACTCCATTGCTCCACCTATTACGGCTATTAATACTGCTACTAGAACATGGTGAACTTTGAGTTTCAATGTTAGGATGATTTATTTGTGGAAACTCCGAACTCCCAATTAAGTTATCACTATTGTGGTCAGTAAGGATTGATACATGTAAAATTAATTTGGCGAAATATGTCCCATTTCGGCATAAAAGTAAAAGAAACTGGGATTCGGAAATGATTTAGAACCAACCAGATTGAAGGCTTTTCATTCTGAACTGGATAGCGTCACTCTTCTTCACTTCCGCGTTGTATTTCGATTTCAAACTTTGAATGTCCTCAATCGTGCTCTTAAAATCCTGAAGTTAGAATTTAAACCGCACAATAAATAACGGGAAGTAAAGTCAAATGTGAACGTCACACAGGTCAAATGGCATACCGCATAGATCTGATCGAAGCTGGAAGTTATGGAGAGGATCACATCCTCGCTATCGGTCGCCATTACAGTGAAGATGATTATGGATGGTGATGGACTGGTGGACTGGTGGTGATTTACGCGGGAAGTGCATCCAATGCTACAGGCGTCGAGCATCAATTTTTTCTAGGATATATCTAGAAAAGTGAAGTAATAACCTGTTTGAACATTCTAGGGAAAAGGACCAAATAGGACACTGAGGTTTTTAATAAAGTTCACATTGGACATCAAGGTTTTAAGTGGACCAAAAATACACAAAGTTGATGTTTTTGCTTCATTTTTACCCACCCTGTAACCCTTCCGTTAAACTCCCTTTCATCCCCGTTACCAGACCCATTTCCTTCAGATTAAACAACACAATTCAAAATCTCAACCCTAACTCATTCTCATGGCCTGTAAGTGCGAGATTGTGCGAGTCAGCTGACAAGATTAGAAGCTATTGAAGTACGATAAGAAGGTTAGAAGGGAAGGTTAGAAGACACACGACTGCTCTGAGGTACTGTTTCTGTGTTATTTTTTGTTGGATACAATGAATGGGTTGGTTAATCTCAAATTTAACCATAGCGGGAGGTGGATTGTGAAGCCAAAGTTACAGTATATTAATGGAGATGTTGATACGATTTATGGTTTTGACCCTGATTATCTGTGCTATCATGACATATCAAGAAAATACAAGGAAGATTTGGGTTTTAAAACACTGAAAAATATCTATGTGTTAGAACCTGGAAAGGATTTAGACAATGGACTCTTCTTAGTTGAGGATGATGAAACAATCAGGAAGGTTTTAAACCGTATTACCAGATTTTCTTGGATTGATGCGATTGAATTATACGCTGATCATCAACTAGACGAACCCCTTTTGATTCCCCTAATAGAAGGTTCGATTTCTGAATTTGGTAAGCATAACAATGGTGGTGGACTGGGTAATGAGTCTGCCAGTACACATATGGGAGACCAAAGCTTTGAAGTGAACACAAATGGTCTCCCAAATGGCTATGTTACAGATGAAGACTGTTATGGAGGTTCTGAAGATGATGAAAGCAACAATTTAGATTCAGCCTCTGAAAATGAAGGTGCAGTGAATTACAATGCAACAGAAGGGTCAGAATACTTTATGAATGGAATGACCTTTGAAGATGCTGAAGAGGCTCGGACTGCAATTGCTAATTATGGTGTGAAATTTGGTTATAAGCTGAAAATCAAACCGAATGAGAAGAACAGACTGGCCGTTAAATGTTTGAATGAAGAAGGCTGCCCATTTAGAGTATGGATTTCTCGAGATGGAAAGAATTGCGGGCTAGCAGTGAAGATGTGTAACACTGAACACAAGTGCTTCCGACACTATTCTATTCCTAATGCCACTCAGAAGTGGTTAGCAAATTATTTCAAAGGGCACCTGCAGAAAAATCCTAACTTTCGGGTTGCTGACATGAAAGAAGTGGCTGAGAAGAAGTTGAAGATAAATGTTAGCTTGTATAAATGTAAAAGGGCTAAAAGGCTGATTATTCAAGAAATGGATGGTAGTTATAAGGCTGAATTTGGATACCTAGAAGCATATGCTGCCACATTAAAGAGGAGTTTGTTCCCTTTGTGAAGTTTCTAAATGGCAGTGACTTGTCATGATGATGAAGAGTTTGTTGTGGCCTGCTCCTATTTATGTCTTTCATCTTTAAGTTGTTACCATTTTTCTCTCGTTTGATGCTATGGAATATGATTTTCAAAAGCATACTTTTAAGGGATGTAAAAATGTGTATAGTATAAGGGTGTAATAATATGAGTGAGATATAAGGGATGTAATAATTTCTGTATTGATTTTCAAAAGCATACTTTTACCTTTTCAAACTCCATAGGATCAGGATTGCTTGCACTAAATACCCTTTGGGTTATAGTCAGTAACTACTTTTACCTTTGGGTTGAGGCTTAGTCAACTCGGCTGGGTTATAATCAGTAATTACACCCTCTTAGAAATTTTTGTTATCAGTCAATGAGGATTTGCATCAGTAACTAGCATCAGTATATACTGATTATAATAATTTACTGATATATACTGATTATATAATGATGTGTTGTCATCAGGCAAAGAGGATTTGCATCAGTCATCAGCCTCTTATAATCAATAAATACAGCCTCTTAGAAATTATTGCCATAACTAATTCCTCCCTGTCAAAGGCCCTCTATGTAAAAGTAGGGGGGTAATTTTTGCTTTTTTTTTTTCTAGAACCTGAAATTGAATGATTGGGTACAAAGGATCATGAAAACCTTCACATAACATCATCACAATTGACTCTACCAAGAAGTTCCCTGTGTTCTTCATTTGACAATCTTAGTTCTTTTCTTAGTTCAGTTAGCAGACTTTCCTTTACCCAAAGTCATGGCATCAGCCTGAGCCTTAACATAAGGGCTCTATTTTAACACCTGCTATGTAACACTCCAGTATTAACCAAAATCAAAATGAACTCAATTCATTGAACAACAAAATCACTAAAAGATTGCAAGGTACAATCGAGGAGTTAAATTCAGCATTGCATAACCATTTCACAAGAGAAAACATAATAGTAAGTTTACAAGGTCATAACTAAACCATTTTACAACAAACTGACTAAGAGATTACAAGGTTATAGCCAAACCATTTTATAAGTAACTGAAACTAACATAAAAACACACATAATACTAAAACAAGGGCAAATAACAACACTACAATTAGATAACTATTCTTCTTCATTTTTGATTTTCCTTCCAATTGGAAATGGGCTGCATTCTTCCTACTGTTAGCTTCTTCAACTTCACTCTCCAATTTTTGAGCAACACTATCACATTCCTGTTCAAACAATAGAAATTGCAGTCTTCTATTCTCCCGTTTGAGCTCATTGATAATATGTCTTGCTCTGTCAGTTAATGGTTCATCATGCCATTCAAAGAAGCCACATCCATCCTTCTGGGTATACATGAAACACAAGAACATGAACATCAATATATATATGGAATTTACATATCTATGCCCCCTCCTCTTCTCATTTGTAGAAGAATATTTAAAAAAATACCTCATAATAAGGACATCCATGGAATCGTCTCCCTGGATTCTTTTCAGTCCATGAAGTCCAAAGTGGCGCTTTGACGCGAGTTCCATTTTCATTTGTGCAGTTGCAGAACCTTGAATGCCCAGGACGTTGCTCAACGATGCTGCGAAGCTTAACTGAAACAGTGGAGTCACATTTGCGTACCTCAGATGAGCTCGCCGCTGAACGAATCTCCCGAATCAGTCCTTTCTTCTTCGTATATGTCCGCAAGATGGGGATAAGCAGGTAGAAATTCAATTAGGGTTGTTAGATATAAGGGATTGCATTTATTGGGACTTTATTTTCTGAAGGAAACGAGTCTGGTAATGGGGAAGAAGGGGAGTTTAACGGAAGGATTACCGGGTGGGTAAAAATGAAGCAAAAACATCAACTTTGTGTATTTTTGGTCCACTTAAAACCTTGATGTCCAATGTGATCTTTATTAAAAACCTCAGTGTCCTATTTGGTCCTTTTCCCAACATTCTATTACAGAATGGTAGGTAATATGCAATTTTTTTTAACACCAAAAGGGGAAAAGGTTAAATAGTTTCTTCAATATTTCATCGATCACTTAAGTCTCCTACAATAAGAAAAAGTAGTACATACTGCGTATTATTTTACCGTTTTTTATCTGTATTTTTCGAACTATTTGTATGTTCGTGTAGAGGAGTGTTCTCTTGTCATCTTTTCCCCTTGTCTTCTTTTTATTTTTTTTTTTATTTTTTTTATCCTTTAAAGTTTTATCTTTATATATATATATATATATATATATATATATATATATATATATATATATATACTCCGTATATTCTTTATATATATATCTTTGTATATATATATATTCTTTTATTCTTTATGATATCTTTCTTATGTATATTGAACTCTTTTTATATTAACTTTTTTTTATCATAACATATCTTTTTATCTTTCTTATCTTTGTTTTCCTTTTGTTTGTGATATCATGTATCGGTTCATGTTGATGTTGTTGTTGGAACTATTTGTGAACTAATGCTTGAATGTTAGTGTTGTTGTTGGAACTATTATTATAATTTAATTTTATGTTTTTTACACTTTCACTTTATTTTTTTTTTGCCTTTTTCTATTTTTATATAGAACTAATACAATTTTGGAACTAATACAATTTTTATGATAACTTGTTCACTAATACAATTTTAGAACTAACGATTTTTTTATGATAACTTGTTAAAATTATCTATCCATTATGGAACTAATACAATTTTTATACTATTATTACATTTCTTTAAAATTTATACTTCGTATGAATTTTCATAAGATTAATCAATTATTTTTAAATTAACATTATGCTATAGCATGTTAAAATGTCTTGATTGATAGTGTTTTTATAGTAACCATTGTTTATACGATAGTTTTTAGTATGTGGACTAAAGTGATGTATTGGAAATAATAGAAAAGTTTATTGTCTGTTTTGTTCAAAAATAAATCACTTATTTAACCGCTTCATAATATACTATCGTATCTAAGATGACTAAATATGCTACCAAATAGCTACTAATTTGATGGTCATTAATTTGGTAAGAATTGTTAATAGTTATTGGATGAAATTTTTATCATAACATGCATACAATATTGAAAGAGCATCTTTCATTTTACCATATTTATGGTACTTGTGAATGTATGATTCAAGGAGCTACTATGATATATACGTGTGATTAATGGAGCTATCATTGATGTCACAACTTTAATAAATTTTCCTTTTGTATAACAAATTTTCCATTAATTCTCTATTAAGACCTTAATTTTAGCGGGAATTTTCTCTCTTCAATTGTTGTCCAAACTATGTTACTTTATATCATATAAAGATAAAGTTATTATTATTTTTTAGTGATGCGTGGGTGGATTACAAATTTTTGGGTAGGATTATCATTGTATATACTACCAAGGATGTTTTTAATTGATTTGAAATTTTCTGGTCAGATCTGGTGTAAATTGGTCTGGTAATGTTTGGTCTCTTTTTTTGTTTTAAATCTGGTTCGATCTTGTTTAATCTGGTTTGTTCAGGTTTGATCTGAGACTGAAAACAGTATAAGTAAAAACATCCCAAGTAATTACTAATATTTTCTATACAT